TGTTACAAAACAGCCACACAACTTCACACATACCAGAACCCACAGGCTCAGGGAACTCTGTTAGCAGCAGTTTGCAACAGCTAGTTGTCATCAAAAGGAAGGATTAAACATACTTTTTTTTAAAAAAAAAAAAAAGCCAGTAATAAATATTTGCAAATATAATAATAAAATAGTAATAAATTGGCAATGTAACTCTATATTAAAGCATTTATGTAGCTCTGAATCTAGACCAATAGCAGTTTACCTTGAAATAACGTTACAGGTGCTAACTATACTGAACTGATGTGAAGCCCTATAAAGCAGGAACTTGAATAACCATTTTAAATAAAAATCTCATGGTTTAGACAACACTACTTGTACATTCTAGACCTCAGATTTACTTGTCATAGTAGTCAACAGTCACCCTCCATTGCCCACATGACCCATAAATATCCCCTGCAGAGCATGTACATAAGGTAAAGTAACAGAACTGGCTGTCCACAGGAATCTTCCAGGGAGAAACAATTTTCTCTGACTCCTCACCCATTAAACCTACCTCCTTTCTCCAGAGTCCCGAAGGAGAAAAATGACAGCAGATGAGCTTTTATACATCTGGTTGATATCTGAACTAATGGCCTAAGACATTCAGCAGAATTATAAAACAGTAAGTGGCTCACCTCCAAGTACTGGAATTAATCCTAGGATCCTGACAGCTCCTCATTATGAGGTCCAGCAGCCTCCAAAAAGACAACTCAGGCTGTGAGCCGGGAAGCGCCGAGTCACGAAGCACCTAATCATGGGTGTAAGGACCCGGGCTCCCGGCACGGCCCCTCTGTGCCCACCCGCCTCGCCAGCAGCAGCACCCCACAGCCTCGCAGGAAACCTCTTACAATCAGTGAGTGAATTTTCAAACTGTCGTGTTAGCATCAGGCGTTTCTGCAGCAGGATCTGGAAGATGACTACACCTCGGTAACAAACAGCACGTGCCTGGCTCTGCTGCCTGTTGTCCAGAGGAGACACTGGTCGTCTTGCTGAGGAGCAGCAAGCCCAGCACTAACAGATCTACATAGGGTTGCCACACACCACTTGCATCTTGGATGCAACTGTACTGTCATCTTCCAAAGGACCATCAGTCGTAGGGCTGGCCAAAACCATCCGATGAAGCTGGCTCGTTCATACAGACTGACAACGTCCCTTACCAGCTGCTTTCCATGGGAGCCTTAAAAGAGAAATCAGACACATGCAAGAGAGGCAAGTTCCCCCAGCAGCCACACCGAGGAGGGGAGAGCTGAACACGAAGTACCAGAGCAGCAGGAGCGATGCCGAGGAATGTGAGCCTCATGCTCAGAACATCGAAATAAGAAACTGGATCTCATGTTTCTCCAGCTGCAGCCCCAAATGGAGGAACTTCCCAAAGTTCAGCTACACTCTCTAGGAGAACAAAGCACAAGCACTTGAGGCAGAAATGCCTTGCTGCCAGCTCTCCGAATGGTGCTCATGGGCTTTTTGCCTCACTTGCTGAGCCTACTGTCAACTTACTGCCGCATGGAAAGGGAAACAACATGAAACTAAGTAAGACTAATAAGATTTAAAGAAGAAAAGCAAGACTCAGAGGCTAATGCAAAAATCTATTGCAGGGGAACACCACAGAAGAGAGACCTTAACTCAAGCTCTAGAGCAAGTCTACTTCAAATTACCAGACATCTCATCACAGCAAAAGCAGTGCTGTCATCTATGTCCTGCCAGTAATCAACTACATTTTGGAGGACTACAATATATCCAAGACACATGTGCAGTTTTTACCTACCTTTTCCGTTTCTGTTACTATCACCTTGCTGTTATCCTGGTTATTAGCCTCCTCACCTAAAGCACAAGCAAAAACTTTACAGTCACTAAACATGACGAGGCAGTTTGCAAACACTGCACCAGTCTGGAGCAGTTCTGACAGTTAAGGTATAACTACAGAGTAAATATGAACTGTACTCTTCCAAAGGCAGAAAGATAGATCTCAAGAGGTGATAAACCATCTGGGAAAAGTAAGAGTGGAAAAAAACAAACAAATCTCTACAGAGAACTTTGAATAAGAAATTTTTTTTGCTCTGTTCTCCTTAATTCAGGATACCAATTTCAGGAGCAAACGTCCATCAGGAAGTTGGAGATAAGCAGAGCTCCACTCTTTAAATGTATGGAACATTTATTTGGCCACTCACTAAAACACCGGAGAAGTCTCTAGAAAGTTTGTCAGTATTTTTAAGTGTGCAACTTGAGGACTTCATACAGAGCATCAGGAAAAGATATCTTTCAAGCAGTTTCAGAAATAAATTTCCTGCAAATCAAACTAATATTAGAAAGGAATGCAGAAAACAAGGAAGTATTAGCTAGAGACAGGGCATTTGCAAGAAATTACAAGACACAAGAAGTGTCTTGTCTTCTGTAGTAATAAAACCTGACAGTTCCTTCACTAAAAACCCATGGGTTCAATATTGAATCCAAGCCAGGTCATAAATCTGGCTAGTGTGTTAGACTAGCACCATTTTGTATCATCCTCAGATACCTGAGTTTTCATTTGAGGTATTAAAAAGTATTTCTAACTGATCTGGTAACCAAGGGAACATCAAGAACATGGGCTGGGAAACTGATTCAATATTTAAGAAACACATGCAGAACTCGCTGTCACATCTAAGCATTTCATTCCTTGTCTCGTTGTCTTAGACAGCTTGTGTGGGGCAGATGGGACTGAATTACAAAAATTCAGAAATACATCCACTCGTCGTGCTGCTGACCACTGTAACGAGGTCTTGCTGACTTCTTTTATTAAAAAGCCCCACATTTAATTTGCAGGTTATACATAAAAGACAACACTGATGCATCACGAGCAGCACTGCTGGCAGCAAACGCGTGCAGGTAATTAGAGGCTGCCTCCTCCCAGATGAAGAGCTGTTCTGTCTCATTACCCTCCTGAGGGATCCCCCGAACAGTATGGCATTCATCCCCACGAGATGTATCCATCCCCTCCCAAAACACCACCAGCTGCTAGCCCTCAGCTCCCTTGCCCCAGAGTCCCTCATCCAGCCCACCTCAGATGCAAGGGCCTGAGAGCTGGCGCAGGACAGAGGGGGGGACGTCCTGGAGAGATGGGGCTGTGGCAGCCCCAGCATCTGGCCAACTGCTCAAATCTTCTTCACTCAAGCATCCAATATACTGTTTTCGCAGGTATAACCTACTGATTGTCTGAGAACTTATGTAGGAGAACCTGAAAACCGTCAAGACTACTGCACTGTGGCAGTAAAGGCAAAGTAATATGAAAGTTACTACCTTATAGAAACCTTCTGTCCTGATAATCTGGAGTTTGAAACAGGAAGGGATGCTCCAGCTGAGCACAGAGCCACCCAAGGTCACCAGGAGTAAGATGCAGGGGCAGTACTTGAGCACCTTCCTGCAAATACCTTTAGCTATGAGCGAGAAAACACCACCGTCCATAGAGAGTTTATGGGCTAGGACTCCACTATATGTATTAGAGACGTAAACCCACTTCTGTGCAGATACATCAGGGCATCACCAGTCCATTTAGTAACAGAGCAGTGAGTACGGGTTTTGGCATAAGGAAGATCCAAATCCATTTTTTGCATCTCCTGGCAGGTTGCAGAAGACCCTCTTTGTAAAAATGGATTTTCACAGGAGCAGAAAGAGTCTGTCTTCATAATTCTAGCACTTCATCAATGCTCAAGCCATTACTCCTATTTGCATTTTCTTTGGGTTTCAACTCAACTTTCACATGTTTCAGAAGCGAGCGCCCTAATTATGTGAAAACAAACCGTTACGCTTCTATCTCCATGTCTCATGGAGTCTCACCCAGGACATGTTCACCCTTTGCATAAAGGTAGTTGTGACTTACTTTGCAAACGTAAAACAATTGCTCCAGGTGAAGTGAAGGGCTCCATTCACGGATCATTAACTTGGACAAGATTTTGGTATCAACACTGCTACATTCAAAAGCAAGTAGTGAAAATAAAACTTGTTCAGTGAATTATCTGCATAATATAGCAAAAATAGAGTTTACTGTAGTTCAGAAGTGAACTGACTGAAAAACTACCCTAAATTTCCTAATCTTCTAAGTGAAAAAGAGCCAAGCAGTGGCTGATGAAGAATTTTAGATGCTTGGAATGGGAATCCAAGCACTAGATGCAGAACAGGGAAGGGTGAAACAGAGCAAAGGGGAGGAGCGGGTGAGCTGCGGCGTTCACGGCCGGCCTGTGTTTATTTTGCAGGTGGAGCGTGGAAGACCATTATCACACCGCCTTTCCAAAAGGCACCACCAAGTGATCTGCCAAGGAATTCCAGTCCTTGCAGCCAGAGGAAAGCAGGTCATCCAGCCTGCACACAGCGGTTGCATCACACGCTTCCCCGCTCCCTTCCCCAGGCGCGAGTGGGTGACAGACCGTGCCACGAAACGCCGCCACCCGCGTGGACGGCGGGACGCGCGCGGAGCTCAGCCCTCCGCCCCGCTCCGTGCAGAGCCCTGGGGTCCCCCCACGGGCCGAGACCCGACCCCTCCCCCCCCCCCCCCACGGCACGAGACGGCGGCCGCAGCCGCGCGGCAGCGCAGCGCCACGGCACGTGCGCCGCGGGTGGAGCGCGACCCGCGGCAACGGCAACCGCCCGCCCAGCCGGTCCCCGCGAGAAAACCGGCATCCGCGGGGCCGAGCTCCGCGGGCAGGGCCACGCTCACACCGGCTGCGGGGGTGAGGGTGGGGGGGAAGCGGAGAGCCGCAGGAACGCCTCCCCGGCGGGGAGCGGGGCTGCGGCACCGCACAGCGCTCGCTCCCCGCACCGGCGCCCCAGCGCAGCCCGGCCCCTCCACGCCGCCTCCCAGTTCCCCGCCCGGGCAGGCGGCGGGATGCGGGGGGACCCCCTGGGGAACCCCGACGCGCATGGCCGCGGGGAGGGAGCGGGGGGGGGGGGGGGGTAGCGGCACTGCTGAGTCACGGCCGGGCCCGGCCGCCCCCTCCCGCGGCACTCACCTGTGGGCCGCGGCCGCTCCGCACCCCGTTGGGGGGCCCGCGGCCGGAGGCTGCCGGGCGGCGCAGCGCGCCCGCGCCGTTGCAGGCCCCCTCCGCGGGGTCGCCGCCGCCCTCCTCGCCGGCGGGGAAGAGCCCGCAGCAGCGCTGGAAGCGCGCCACGGGCTGGGAGCTGCGCAGAGTGCCCAGCAAGCGGGCCATGCTGCCGGCAGCCTCCGCGCTCCGCCGCGCAACCTCCGCGCCCCGGCAGCCGCGGGGCCGCAGGCAGGTGAGCCCCGCCCCGCCCCGCCAGCCCCGCCCACCGCCCCGCCCCGCCAGGTGAGCCCCGCCCGTCGCCCCGCCAGGTGAGCCCCGCCCACACAGGTGCGGTGCCCCGCCCGGGAGCGCCCCCTGCCGGCCGGGCCGTGCGCTCCCCCCCGGCTGCGGGAGCCCCTGAGGAGTCGGGATCGGGATCGCGATCGGGATCGGGATCAGGGGGCGGCGACCCCCCACCCAGCAGCAGTAGGAAATTCAGGAGGTTCCCCTTTTTTTTTGTCATTTTTTGCTACCGTGACTCCCCTGGTAAAAGAAAATTACCATAATTAATCTGCCTTGAAGTAAACACAGCCTGCTTTCTTAACCTAAAGATAAAACGCCTGGAACCTCACCAAGATCCTCGGGATTTCCCTGGGGAACACATAAGCCTGAGTGCCCCGGGGAGGACCCTCCTCCCCGCCCCGCACGGGCTCACACCGCCGCCACGCTGATGGAAGGGCTCGTCTCGGGGGTAAAATGTACCCTGGGCTGGCGCCAGTCTCATTTTGTCCCATCTTGAGCCAGCTTCTCTGTTTTCTCTGGAATATTTACGCAAATATATTGCATACATACACATGTACACATATGCATATAAGCATAATGTCTCCAAGTATTTCCTCCCTTAAATACAGCTGTGGAATTTCCCACAGAAAGAGGGGAGTTATCGCTTGGAAGACACCCCTCAAACTCTGGGGCTGCAAAACTTGCCATGGATGATACTTGCTGATTCCTGCTCTTGAAACATTAAGGACCCTAGTTTTGTTGGTGCATTTGGTTTGGTATTTTGGTGGTTTTTTTTAGAACAACCCATTTCTATCCCCAGAAATGTATTTTGTACACAGATTGCAAAATCAACTTTGGCTCAGTGTAGCTCATTGCAAATGTGTTACTTTTTTTCCCTCTCAAATACCCCAAATTACCCAGGATTGCATCAAGTCTTCTCTTTCTAGAGCCTTTGAAAACCAAAGCCATGCTCCTTCTCTTTTTGGGAAGCCCGCCTGTCCCTGTGCTGTTGCCTGGGCCGGCTGGGGGAGGTGCTGACACGGCCTCTGTCCAGACGCCAGGGCAGACTCCGTAGATCTCATCTCGTTATTTTGTGTGATTCACTTTCCTTTATCTTCTCAGAATGTAATCTTCTATCCTTCGAGCTCTGCCCAGCCACAGCTCCGGCTGATGTCACGTTTCAAGCGCTTTCCTCATCGCTTGCGCGCACATGCGCTCCTGCGTGGCCGAGGTGACCGGGCTGCAGCTCGCTCGCTGGCAGAACCAGCTCACGCGGGCTGGGGAGGGAGGCTGCCTGCTCCCGCTCAGTTGTGTGTTTATATTGTTTACTTGCAGGAATTATTCATTGTTTGCTTCTGGTTTTGTTTGTTAATGGCTGTATAATTTATCAGGTGCACTCATAAGGATCTGGGAAGCTTTTCTGTTCTTTTTCTGTTTCTCAGAAATGTGAAACATCCACAAGTATGGAATAACAATTAAAAATTGCATTCATATTGCTTAATTTCTTCTACGTAGACTGACCTCAGTAGAGCTGGATGGGTTTGATCTGTAGTTCCTTCATGGCTATTTTCAGTGGATAACAGAAAGACTCCTCAAAATAATTTCATTCTTATTTTATCCACCTATATGACGATGCGTACAAGAGTTTTTAACATGTTAATTTGATGAGTAAAGTTACAGCCCTGCTGGTGCGGCTGGGAGTTTTGCTGCTGATGCCAGTGAGATAGGATCTCATCTAGAGATGCGGCGTAAAGCAAGAAAGCAGGAGCAAAAGTGCATGGCCAGGGCCAGCACACAGTGGCTATTTTAAAACATCTCTTTGTTAACCACAAGTCAATATTTATCTGATCTGCCTACACACTTGTGTCTGCCCATTGTCATTATAATACTTCCCAAGTATTAAAATAGAAGAAATAATTTGTAGCCAGTTTCCACCTAATTCTTCTTCAGGCAAACACTTGGGTTAGTGGGAGTGTGCCTTGGTGAAGATGTCAGCATCCAGCTGATAAGAATTCAGGATGACTGAGATTTTTTTTCCAAACTTACTCCGAACCTAATAGAGCCCAAAAAATAAAATAAAATAAAATAAAATTAAATTAAAAGGGGGGGCAATTTCTACCTGTTGTTAATTTTAATTTGCCTCGTCCGTGTCTTTGAGCACTCCAGCTCTTGGTTTGCCTTTTTTCACTAAGGCTTCCAAGAAAGCCAAAGAGGATATGAGGGGAATCTACTTTTAAGAATTTACCATTTTCTTGACATTACCTTAATTTAGCTGTGACTTTAGATTGCGTTAGATGATTATTTTAGCAAATACATTAATGCACAACTGCATGCAGCTTTACCCCCATATTTCCTTATGCTAGCTTGAGTAGCAAAGCATTAGATAAAGCCAGGCTTGAGACCCTGCTCTATGGAATGGGGAACACCAGACTAAGCAAGATCTTACAGAAGAATCAGCACCAGATCCAAACCCCTGGGGAATGGGAGAAAAAGCAAGGCCAGAGTTGCAGTGTCATTGAAAAAAAAGATGCAAACTGGGTTTAAAGTGTGCCACATCTGCTAGAACTTTAAGCATCCCTTAAGTCAAGGCTGCAGTGGCCCTTTGTCTCTGCAAAATAACGCTGCGTGTGGAAAGGATGCTGCCTGTCATTTCTAGCTTAGAAATGAGCTGACCCTAATTAGGTTGGAAGTGTGGGGGCATTTTACAAAGGTGCTTGGAGGCCCAGGGGTCCAAATATCCAGCAAAAGGGATTTGTGGGAACACCTGAAAAGGCAAAATGCCCAACACTCATTGAATCAACATGAGCAGTTATAAGTGGTACATAAGCTGATGACAAAAATCTGTGACCCCTTTTCTGCTAAGGAAAGAGAAGGGATCTGTGAAAGTTATGATCCTAATACAGACTGATTTCTGTAACGAAAGAAACATTTCAGGTTCGGTTTAAGACACAAAGAAAAATCACTGATGGCTTTGGGACATTTTCTTAGGAAGATAATGATCTATCTAATCAATCTGCCTCTACCACCTCCCCTCAACCAATTTTTGAATCATCTGGCAAATTCAAATCACATTCATCATAGGAGCAAAACTTTCCCCAGTCTTGCACTCCTGCAGTTTTAGGGAGAAACAGCAGTGGAATAGCAGACAGAGACACAGTTTGGGCTGCCTGATGGCCACTCAGGATACGCTTATTTCTGGGTGTGCTGCTGGCAATTCCACCTCTTGCCTGTCCAGCACTCAACAGATATGGGCACAGCTGCAGGATATGGCAGCGTTTTTTGGGGGGGAAAATGGAAATAGAAATACTTCCAGGGTTGACTAGAGGATCGTAGGAAGGACCATAGCACATCAGTGCGAGGTGTCCTGGACACAAAGAGGATGGAGGGTTTGAGGAGAGAACCGAGAGCAGAAGACTGACCATTGCAGTGGAAAGTGTCTAGTAACATGGAACAAAAATCTATAGGAAGCTTGTTTTATCATTTGCTTTGCTCATGGAACAGATGGTTTATTCTTGCTCAAAGCAAGGGTATGAATCGTTTCTCTTCTATTCCTCTTGTAGAACAATGCTCTAATTGCCTTTTCTGGAGACCTACCTCACATTAATTCTGATGGCCAAGAAAAATAATCAGCATTTGGCTTCTTGAAAGATCTGCTTTAGAAAAAAAAAACTAAATGAAACAAAAAATTCAAGAACTCTCCCACACTTTGTGTGGCCCATACAGATTTTCTGACATTTAGAACAGGCAGTTTTCTGTAAAACCAGTGGAAGCAACACCACTGTAAAGGACTAGATGAGTAGCATTCTGTGAGTGTTTCAAAGCAGCTGGTTATAAACTGTCCATCTGAAAAAAAAAAAAAAAAATTAAAGCTTTAACTGGTGAAAGTACCAAAATATCTCCCTAATAGCTGGCCAACATTCAGCTATGATTTCATAAGGGAAGAAAATCACCTCTGGGCTGAGGATAAGTGTGAAAGATGAGAATACAAAGGCTAACTTTTGAGAAAGCTGAAAATAGTGCCTTGTGCTGAAAGCATTTCCTTAACAACAACGTGTGTCACTGTCGTGACGGTGGATCATTTTGCCTCCAGCATCAACAAAGCTAAGAGCGAAGCACAAATTCCACGACTGGGGGTGGATAACGATGCTATGAGAACACAGCTCAGTTTTTGGATGCCAGCGTGAGTTTGCAACCCTGACAGCCAGGCAAGTCTTGTTTTGACTTGTAAGCTGAAGGAATGGGTCTGGAGGAGCAAACACGAGCACAGCTTTTGCCATCGTTTTACAGACAGCAACCATTTCACTGCGGAAGATCGAACTTAAGACTTACTTCAGCTGATAGCCCTATGAGGCAGTGGTGGGTTAATACTTACGCACACAAATGTCCGAACTGCAGTTTTCCAAACTAAAAACCACTGAGAGGACAGGAATACAGACAAACTGAAGTCTCCGCTGAAACCGCCATAGAGTAGGCACAGAGCCACTGCATTATGAGATGTCTCTGGTACCAGGAGAAAGGACTTACTAGTATCTTTATTACCTGGAGAGGTGATGAAGATTTGGCAGAGTAGAGCTACAAACACCAGCACGCTGTGGCCTGGGACCACAGAGCCTGGTGGGGGGATGTGGGCTGTACCGGAGGGAGCAGTGGGACTCGGCTGACAGTTGTGCTGAGATGCCTCTTCTTCACCGTTTGAAGATGCTTATGGCTAGATGCAGAAATCCTTTGGCCATGCAGTGAAGACAGAAATCCCAACAACTCATCAGTATCATGGCAGAGTGTATTTAAACAGGTTTTGAACAAATTTTCTTTCCCAGCTTCATCCCATACATTGTCATTATTCTCAGTCATTTTCTCAAGGTACTTAGAGCCCAACTCTTATTTTCATCTTCCTTCACCATTTTTTGGCAATTTGCGTTTTTCACTGTTTGTATTGCAAAAGAAACCATTAAAAATGGTATGTTTTAATGTCAGAAGTTC